GAGCCAGAGGTGCAGTATTTCACTGTCACACTTGAACTTCATATCTGATGAAACCTAGGCGCCGCATGAAAACACGTTGCAAGCAGGCGTGGCGGTGCTCCAGTTCATCCACCTCTTTAACTCCGTTGCCGACGCTTGCGCTCTCCTATTCCCCGGCCACTGTGTCTTGCCGGGCTATCCATCACGCGGAGGCTCCTGTATCTATCTCCGTGCTGACTGAGCCCTGAGAGTGTTCATCAATGCTCGTTGTCTTGCTCCTCAACTTGTTCCTGCCGTTTGTGTCACCCGTTGTCTCCTCTTCAGTCACAAAACCACTTATGTGCTACAAAGCCCATTCTACTCACCCGAACATACCCTCTGGAATACGATTGTATCTGCAACGTGTCGTAGAATTGAAATCTATTCAAAAACATCGTGTTAACGAAGGGTGGCACGGTTTGGCAGCTTTTGCTCTGTGCTACGTGCAAGACAGCCCTCTTGCTAAACAGTCCGTTGGAAGAGTGTTCGGCACTCGCCCTGTTATTTGAATCTCAGCTCCAGGTCCAGGCTTCGTTCCCCCTAGCTCGAACTCAGCACGCGCACGGCTTTCCTACTTTCCTCACGGTCGTTGCCCAATAATAGGATCATGGCTTAGTGGACTACATTCACAGTCGCGTCATATGTACACTTCAAGTTCTTGCTGCCGGAAAGATCATTTCGTGCGACCATCGTCGTTCCCACAGTTGATATAGAAATGTAGAATTACCCTTCGGTTCAGCCTGTCTCCAAATATGAAGATCGTAGCGGTTGCACAAGTGGCATTGTGGCGGAACTTGCGTTGTTGCTGTTATTCGACTTTTCGCCACTGGCACCTTCGATTTAGCCGGCCACACTCAACCCGCCTATCGCCAACAATGCTCACATGGTGCAAAACCTCTAGAGGTGTGTTGTTCCAGGGCACAGTCTCAAAACTCCTCTCACTACTAGCAGTACCCTGATATTCTTTGTGCGTTTAATACGTTTAGCACGCGTACAAACCTTCCAGATGGACATTAACACTAACACTTGGACATCCGCTCCGACATCGGGGCCAGTCTCCAGAACCTCACCAGCCGAGCTTGATGGTGTCGCAGACCAGGGAGGAGCGCAGACCCTCTCTTGCTCCTGTGTCATCGCATGGATGGCAGCTTTCGCCGGTCCCTTCTTGGGACGGGGTGTGTTCTCTCGTTAAACCACGTCTCTGAATATCGTTCGTGGGGTGGTTTCGTCTCAGCCAAAATAGCACCCAAAGATGAGTGGCCACCCAGAGATGAGGCCCATGGCTTTTTTTCGTGCCACCCTCGGCCAACACTTCGACTTCGCGCTATCTTCACAACTCATTGTCATTCTCTGTTCATTCACCCCTAACCTTCATCGCCTCGGCGCCCGCCGCAAAACACGTAAGCTGAGAACATTTTGCTCTTCCGCCTGCTGTATCATAGATGGATATTCTTGGCGTCGGAGATATTTACATCATGATTGCTTCTCTCAACCCAGGGGAAAACTACTGTATTAATCCATCACTGCACTGATCATGCGTCTTTTCTGTCCGCTTCGTATTACGGCCGTTCTCAAATCCGCTCGCAGCTGGTCATCACACTTCAGCTGCAGGCTTCCGGTTTGTTGGGTACTCAGACCCCTGCATGGCCTTCAACATGTCAGCTCTTATTGATACTACTATGCCTATGCAGCTCTTCATGGATTATCGGAATGCTTGCTTGAATATGAAGTCCGTTTTTGAGGGCAGCTTGTCATTCGTCGGAAGTACAGATCAGGCCTTGCTTAATAAGCAAAACGCCCCAAATAACACTCTCGTGAACCATAATGTCACCAAACTTTTAATAGCTCGATGTATGCCGCAGTGCCTTTGCTAATGGCATACTACATAATTGCTCAGGTACTACCGCATGGCACTAGGGGTGCCGCGGATCTCAGAGAACCAGTTCGAACTGTGAACCCAAACACGGTTCGGTTCTGGTTCTTTACTTGGGAGGGTATTGCGAACCGCAGAACCATTGAAGGGTTGTAGCCTTATCCATGTTGGATATTGTGCATACATTCATAACGCATATATTTTGTTCGCGGCTTCAGGGTCTTTGTGTAGGACGCATGCATTTGGGAATATCTGGCCGAAAAAAAATTGAAAGGGAGATTTAACGATACACACTCGGACTGGTGCAAATCCTGACAATGGGGACCTGAAAGCGAGTTCCATACGGACCAAGAATTACCTATATATATATATTTCTAAGCACTATAGATGGCTCTTGGTTAGTGGTACAGGCCTGTTCAAACTGTTCCGAACCGAACCGAACCGGGACGGAACCGAAATGCGGTTCGGTTCGGTTCTGGTTAATGGCCCCTCCCGCATACATCCCCACCTTTGTTACATAAACTATGTCTCTGCACATCGTAAAGCTGGAATGGTGGGTGGTCTCGTCCTAACTGAAAAATAGCTCCCATGCATGGATGAGTGGATACCCAGAGATTCCCCCAGCTTTTTTCGCGCCACTCTGGACCAACACTCTGATCTCGCCTCATCTTCGCAGCTCATCTCCATTTCCTATCCCCCCCCCCCTAAGTCCCCTCGGCTCCCCGCCGCACACACAAGTGAGGACATTTCGCTCTTCCGCCTATCACGGAAGGATATTCTAACCCGAAGATATTATTGCTTCTTTCTCGATCCGGAGGTCAACTATCGTGTTACTTATTACTGCATCATTTATGCGTCCCCCCCTCCTCTCCCGTTCACTTCGTATTGTAATTGTACATATCCAGTGTATTGTTGGAATCTGGTCTCGTCAATTTGGTGTTTTCGCACACAGATTCGGAGCCACCGTAGATGCGAACTCTCTGTACAAGGTCCCAGTATAACTTTGTCGTAGATCTTAAATCCTTGGTCGACAGCTATAAAATGTCATTGAAGGAGGGCGTGTCTAACCAGAGTAAACCAGTCCAACAGAAAACTAGAAGTTGAAAGCATTTAGCTGACATGCCTCCACCCACGCTCATTATCTACTTCCTGGATGGGTCCACTCCTGCAGGAATCAAAGGACTTTAAAAGGAGCTTGACCATCAGTGCTCACTCAACGAGGGGATGGACATGCGATGCCGTATCCGCTTGTTTCGGCTCTTGAAGTCCTATTGAAGCCATATGGATCTGATGCATCGGTCATGATCCCCCTCACAAGGAGAACGGCTACATCCTCCATCAAGGCCTGCTGTATGCATCAGAAAATCGCTCATTTCATTGCCAATCTGATAACATCACTGATGGCGCAGCTTGAGAGACTGAAAGCTTGGGGTCGAGCTTATGCCAAATTTAGTCATTTCGAAGTGCAAGCGCCAATATTGAATGCAGCCATTGTTGCGGCGCCGCAGAAATTCCATCAATTTACTGCTTATCGTACACTTCGACGCATTCTAAGCGTTAAATAGCCTACTAAGACTAAGGCTTTGGAGAGATAGCGACCGGCTAGCTACGCAAGGCCAGCGTCACGGCCCTGATCTACGCTTGGCTCGCAGACCTCAGCTAGTACGACCCTTGCATACCACTGTGTGGAGTAGGGCCGATGGCCCCGGTATACGTGGGAGAAAACCAAGATTTCAGATCCGAGACTTCCGGTCAGGCTGGGCCCAGAGATAGATAGCCAAAATCCCCATCTGCCCCTGCAACCCCTAGCTAGGGTCTTTCTGATCAAATCATCCTGGCGATGGACTGAGAGGATTTGCGTTGGTTTCTATCGAATCCCTTGAATATCGCAATTGCTTATTCACTAGAGCTCATCCCCCTCCCCTTCCTGTCACCGGTGATCACACTGTTCGCCTTAACACCACAAATGAATTCAAAAGCTCATTAAACCATTTCTAGCAGGTACAAGGACGGTGGCATCGGCAAGCGTGCCATGACAATTAAGTATACCCCATTTCAAGTTGCTACTAGAACCCCCCGATTTGGATCGTGATGGACGGCTTCCCGGGCCCTGCTAATTCCGCTATCCGACCACCCACGGACTATCGTTCAGCTTCGTCAACCGAGCTGGACTCGGAGGACACCAAGGGCAAGGGGAATGAGTACTGCCAAGGCTGCGCCACAGCATTAACACTGTTGCACGGCACAGGGTGATGATTTGCGTGCAACACCAAAGGGATGCCTTGGACGGAGCTAACGCTATGTGAGTTCTTTACCCCGTTCGCCTTTCACTCTTGCCCGAGCTTTCTCCTGAAGTAATGTACTGTGAACTTGCGCATTGCCCCACAACCCCTGACTTTGTGACTGGCATTTGTAAGGGACGCGTATGCTTCCTCATTCGAAAATCCTCGGTGTCAAGAGTCGCCCGTTTGCATTGGATGATATTGAAACACCCGCAACGTAGAAAGGCTGCATGTTTTTACAACGAAAAGACCCGAAGGATAGCGAAATAAATGGGGGCGCATGAAAGTAGCGGAAGAATGTCCTACGTAACGGTACATACGAGAGTTGGATGTCGGAAATAGATATGGCGAAGGTAGTTAACTTTACTTCAGTTTCAACGGGATAAAAAGGGGCCATACGGTCTGGCACTAAACGATGGTGGTATAGATGTCGAGTAACGACTGAAAGTGAGAGGTTGACGCGTGGTGCAATCTCTATGGAGATGTTTTTGATCGACGTCCTATGATGATCTGGACTAAAGTAAGCTCCCCATTCGACTATGGGTGCATCATCAAGGGGGAAAACCCACTATCTCATCATGGCTGGCATCCCAGATCGTGGGTAGTCCAGCGGAGGAGTTCCTCGACTTGTTGGACTTCATACTCGAACTCCTTGTTGGGGTAGCCAAACTGCCTATCACTTCATCGTCGAACACGGAGACAACAGTTGACACAGTCGGACCACTTGCTAATTCTTTCGCCTGGAATCGTGATTCGGGCCCAAAGGAGTTGAGTTGTTGAGGGCATGGATGGGGCTTCGAAGACGGGTTGCGGGACAGGTGCACTGAGGTCGAGGTGTTCAGAAGAGCCGATGGCATCGGCTTAAGGCCTAATCGTGCAAGGTCGGATCTCTGCATTTCAACATCAGATTCAGATTTTAAGCTCCCGTAGAGTTGCGGCCTCCCAGGACAAGTGAGACCAACTTGGCTCCGACGTCTATTTAGACTTGCAAGAAGCGTGCTTGTGTAAAGCTTTGCAAGCACTAGAAGGAGTTGTCAGTGCCCAATAGCACAGGCTACAGCACACATAGAAGGGACACACAATAGTTGAGTCCTACGTGAATTAATTCGTTCGGATATGCTAGGAACTAAACGTGCAAGAGTGGTTTATGAGCTATGGGAAACGATAACAACACAATGAAGACATACCGTCACGGCGTCCAGAATGGCTACAGTACTTGTGAGTGCTGCTGTATTGCTATACGTTGGGCGCAATTCGATGCCCAGAATACGAAAACTAAACGGGGAACTTACATCACCCACACTATCATCCGCGAAATGAAGTGGTCAGTCCTGGGGAATTGAGATGAGTCGTCGAGGAACATAAACGGTATGATGTCACTAACTCTGAAAACCCCGTCTTACTCGCCCACAGTACCCAACAAACTGTCGCAGTGATCATCACATCACATGCAGCCGAGCTGAAAAGCCACACCGTAACTTGGTACTGAAGAAATAAAGAAGAATATTCATTCAAAGTGGGATATAGGAAGTGCAGCACATCCATGACTCACCTTGTACCTCTCGTACTCTGAAAAAAGGCGCAAGCGGAAAGTTGTGATGCAAGCGACTAGAGAAGACAGAATCAATCTGAACTCTGGTATGTCGGGTCCATACAGACTCACATTCCCCAAGTGCTAAAAGGGGTTTTACCGGACATGAGTGATGGCAAGAGAATCCTAGCAAACATTATGACCCACCGAACGAAAGCAAAGCCACGAGGACCTATTACGATGTGTTAGAAAGAATCTTAAAGGCTCGCCCCATTCACCACGTACGATGACCATTCCCATGAACCAAGTTCTCCGATTCACTGACAACTTCACTCAGCACTTCACATAACATGCACTAGTGGAAACACCAAGCTTACAACGCCATGTCCTGCGAGCGAAAAAACTGTAGGGATCATGCCAAATATCAACGTCTCAGCTTATCCTTGAATGAGGGGGGACTTACAGCTGAACAACTAAAGCAATGATAGGCTCAAGTATGTATGACATCTAGCGAGATGGTGTGTTCAGAAGCCAGAAGATGGCTAGGATGATGATAAATCAAACTACCGAAAATGTCCTGACAATGTCCGTTCAGCTTCGTTAATCCAGCAACTATAACGCAAAGTATGAAATTACCAGTGCGATTTCCCAAGAGCTTCCGGTTGTCCCCACAGTGAAATCTTGCGAAGAGGGTCTCAACAATTGCACTATGCTACATACGAACAGGTTTGAACATACCGCGTATCTGTACACAGCTATTGTGACAAAAACTTGGTGGAGAAAATCAAGCACGCTTTCCGGCACTCCTTTAGAGGTTGTCCATATGAGAGAGTCGATATTCGCGCTTACCAAACCAACGAAACCTGGGATAAGAGGTATTAAAAGACAGAAGCAAAAGACATGATCTATAGATCGAAAGCTCACCGTTACTTTTAGCCAGGTGGGGTCATTCGGAAAACGAGAGAAATAGTGGAATGCTTGGACATTGAGCACTCCGAAGATGCTAAGGAAAAAGTATGAGCCTGCGAAATGCGTGAGTATAAGTAGCGTAGCGCCGCTGACCATGCAGATAAAGTGGCAGCGATCAACACAACTCCAACACAGCCGTCTATACCCGGCACTTTCGGAACATGGTGAGAGAGGTTTAACAATGAAGGGATGGGGTTTGCGGCTAGGAGGTCTCTCTCCATCACAGGTGACGGGGCCCAGGTGAGAAATGGAGTTCTCTCGCCGCTTCGAAATCGTTCTTATAAGACTAGTAACGATCAATCTTCGTGCAAACACAAATGGAGCATGCCACATTTATGAACTGCCTGACAGAGTACGGTGTATGTAACGGGATCGGGCAGAATCATGGTCGTCAGTCGAAGATTTCCATGATGGGAAACAGACTATTCAATAACGCCACATCTTCACTGCCTTAAATGATGGGAACGGGCGAGTAGTTCACACCGGCGATAGGAATCAATCATAGCCCCAACAGGATCCGACCGATACCAGCGGAACTATGGAAGACACCAAGACGCCTTGCCATCTCTCAGTGTGTGCAGGGGCAGGGGGGCCCCGGAGAGTGTCAATTAAAAATTATTTTTGTCACACAAGAAGACGAATCGCAATACCGGAAGGTGTGCGCGTGCAAGTACCACTGCTGGACGAGTAGGGGAGGGGTCTCGCAGCGCTTCCTCGATGTTCTGGAACACACCCAAGCAAATCGGATCGTTCTCGGATAATCACCAACTGTACAGCCACTTCGTCCGGCACATATCTCTGTTCACTTCATCGCCTTTTAACCCAAGCACAAAGACTGAACCCTTGTTTCCATGTGACTCGTTCTGATCGATGGGCTCTGATAAGCGACAATGGGATAATGGGGGGGGGTTAGAATTACTAGAAGCAAGGAAGCCAGGTTCACTCTGGGTTGGAGCTGATGTGCTTCTGTCTTCGTTCTCGCGAGTGCGGAACAACAACGCCAGGAGTTAATCTTCCTGTTGGATCCCGAACTACTCACCACGATTAGGATTCGTCATCTGTTACCGGAGTCATTAATATTGTGATGGCCTTCGACGCTCGGACACACTTCCAGTGTTAATCAAAGCTTCACACTCCCTTCAATACCCGACACGGTCGTGGTGTTTTCTCCAATCAACTATGACCAAATATCATCTTCTAAGTTTATACTCTATGGCTTCTGCTGGTCACAACAATCATGATGTGATGACAATCATGCGCGGCTCTGTTTTGGCCCACTTATCAGGACTCTTCATGAAGGGTGCAGTTTTTGTCACCCAATCCTGCGGTATCCGGTCGTCAGGTGCACAGCACCATTGCTTCTCATGTCACCATCTATAAGGGTCATATTTTATAACGTGTCTGCCTCACACGTCATCGTTCGTTGAGAAGTTCTTCCCCAACTTCCAAGATTCACGATCGCTTGCACATGCATGCACTCTATTTTTCGCGATCTTGCTAGGGATGCGAATTGTTACGGTTTCAGAACCGTCGGGCAGCTATTCCCGCGGATTTTTGGGACCAAGACGATAGCGCCGCACTCTGCACATTCGATGATTAAAGATGTTTCATAAGTTTTGCTACGTTATCACTCCCATCTGGGCAGACTACTGAAGGACGTACTCAATGATGCGGAGACGGAGCAGCTAGACGACGCTGACTATTCGTTCTTCGTTCCCCGCTTCAGTAATTCTCGTAATCGGGAAAACCCGAGAAAAAATTTACTTCCCGCGTTCAATTCAACGTGATTTGGACCACAATCACTTTGATCGTTCCCGTCGCTAATGTCGCACAACGTTGATCTCTCGACTTGGTCGGATGACCGTCTGGCCGAAAACTCGGAGGACGAGGAGTCACTTGGGGTTGCGAAGTTGAGGGAGCGCAGGCGACGACGGCAGGGGAGAAAGGAGCAGCGAAAGCGGGAGGAGGCGGCGCGGCTAGCTGCCGAGGAGCTGAGGAAACAGAGGAAGCGAGAGGCAGGGGCAGAGGCGACGAAGGTGAGTATACCGGGTTACCACTATTGTCATCGGACTATAGATGGGGAAGGCTGAGCGCTTTGATAATTAGCGCAGGTCCGTCGCAGTGGTCCTACCATCAACGCTGGGTGGGAGGCTACCGTGTCTCCGATGCGCCGAGCGCGGACTGAGCTGCATCCCGGGCTCCGGGGAATCCGCACCGTGTGCGGCGTGCAAGAAGGTGAAGAAGGGATGCAATCGCCCTAAGATGCGCGCGGAGTTGGGGTCGTCGTCGGTACGTGCGAGGAAGCGGGTGCGGGTGGAATCGGAGGTGTCAGAGGTGTCAGAGGTGTCTCAGGAGGAAGCGGAGGAGTTGAGTGTGGAAAGTCTGGTCGCGCAGATCAAGGGTCCGATTATCGAACTCGGCAAGGCAGTTCGGTCCCAGAATGCCCTGCTGGGCCAACTTCTAGCTCTGGTTGCGGACTTGGGCGCTACCAAGAGGCCGGAAGTCGATGAGCCCGCGGAGGAACACCCGGAGGCGAACGCGACGGTCGATCCATTGCCTACACATTGCCATGCCACCTACGACGGAACCGTGGTTTCATATCTGCGACCTGCCTGACGGAGCAGCTAGACGATGCTGGCTATTCATTTTCCTTTTTTTGCTTCAATAATTCCTAATCACGACTTGTTGACACATTGTCATGCCTACATCGAATATTTGCGACCCGTCTTCTACTCCAGAAGGGGATCTGCGACCTGAACGGGCAGGCTCCTACCGTCCTTGACATCTATATGACAACACTGCGTCTCATTTTGTATTGCCACAATGAGCTAGCTAATCTTCGAGTTGTCCATCAATTCCGCTGTGGTATCCTTTAACTTTTCTGCCAATGACTCGCATCGAGTAACGAGATGTGGACATCGTGAAGCGTGGAAAACAAGGCTCGAGAGCGATGATAGAGATGGTGCTGGGCCCCCTGTCCCCACCGACCTTGATCAGTCCAAATTCAACTCTTTATGGAAGTCACTAGGACCAGCCATGCATGGACCCACCTCCTATCATGATGACCTTCTTCTATTTGGACGGATATTGTGTTGCTGTAAGGATGTGAGGTGATGTTGGCGGACAATTCTCACACCTTCGGCAGCATACCGGCCCTTACTGCCCAATTTTTTCGCTCTAAATGTATACTTTCTCCGCTGACCTCACTGGCACTTTTTCCTTTTTCTATGGTCAATGTTACAGATAGAAACCAATGCCATTAAGGAGGACGGGAATAGCAGGGGAACTGGCTACCGTATTCACTTAAATCCTCGAAGGCTGTTTGTGTTTCACCAATCGAATCTCGTGCTCGCGAGTTTGGATTTGACCGATCGGTGTTTCGGTGAATCGTTACGCTGCAAAGTACCGCCCTACAATCGATGTCACCTTTCCAACAATGCCCATCTTTACTTCGCTTACTGAACATCGGTCGTTACTGGAACTTGCTCTTGCTACAGGGTCCAACATCCATTTTGTGATAACAGGAAATGTCCATATGCTCAGATTCTGCCTCATTCGCCGCCCTCGGTGGTACTGTGCATCGTTGGGAGACACACCCATCGAACTACACGAAGTGCATCTTTTTTGGTAGTTGCTCACCAAACGATACTGTTTGGACATTTCCCCAACAGTCTTATAGTCATTAAACATTAAGGAGAGGGCGGGGGTTAATGATATTCAAGGGGTGCCTGGATGAAAATCCAAGGGTAACCCAAAACTGGAGCTTCCTCCCGATATGCAGTACAATGGGGATTCCGTCACCTTGTCAAAGCATTTACTTAGGCGCTCCAAAGACTGGATCCAATCCACTACCGTTGTGGCCTCCGCGAATCCTGTCAGTGGTCCGTTTGTGTACACGCCAGATCACACTTTGTCTTATCATGCTGCGCAGAACTACCATTGAGAAACCATCCGTTGTCAATACCACACTCTAGATTATCCAAAGTGCGGCCCCCTTAATATGTTTGTGGTCATGAAAGTGGGGAAGGCCTCAACGGGTGCATGCGGAGTCATCTGATCTTTGAGAATTGGAAAATAATAATACTATCTGTCTTCATAAGCGCCACCATCGTATCAAGATGTCCAAACATCATCCTGGTAAGCCCCGAGCCTACCTATGCCCCATTTGTTCTATTGATGCTCCCTTTACAGATTTGATTATGTGCCGTCGACAGCCTGGGATCGGTAAGTTTGTACCTCTTGCTGACATATCTCAACGTTGGCCAATTCTTTGCATCTTCTCGACGAAAACAGCCATTGGACGTCTCTGCGAGAAATGTGACGGGAAGTGGTAAGTCCTTTTCTTTCCTTGGATAATCATATTCAGAGCGGTTTTGCCGATCAGCCCCATATGCGACTCATACGTGAGACCTGAAACTCTCGTCCGTATTTGTGATGAATGTAACTTTGGGACATACGGAGGGCGCTGTATCATATGCGGATCGCCTGGTGTGTCCTCCATTCGGTTTGAACGCCTTCGGAGCTAACTTTCGACATGGCCAGGTATTTCCGATGCTTACTATTGCGCGGAGTGCACCAGACTAGAAAAGGACCGGGACGGGTGCCCCAAGATTGTGAACTTGGGCGCCAGTAGGACGGATCTTTTCTACGAACGGAGACGATTGGGTAAGCCCCACGAAACCCAGATGCAATTGCAACGATTGTTCATTTCGCTTCTTAGGTTTCAAGAAAGGCTAGACGTCTCCCATACGAGCTTTCACTCGTGGCACTGACTAATATCCATGCCGGCGACCTGTAATCCCCCCGGGGCATCATTGCCATTCGAGAAGGAATCTACTGCTGTATAACAGAGCGAATATTCATTCATGACATTCAAATGATTTCAGGAAGCAAACACGACATGATCCAATACTCCTATCTTCCTCGTTGGGTTGTCATGGTCCACAGCTCGTCTGCATGCCCATTCAGTACTGCTCGAATACCGCAACCAGGAACACGAACCTGAATTTGGTCATATCCACCGCACTTTTGATAACCAGGAAAACGTGTGTGGAGTCGTGGACGGATAACTGTTCACAAAATTCGCACAGGTCTGCGTCACAGTTGGCACATCTGTACCATGTTCCATAGATGTGGTCTACACAACGATCGCACAGCGCCGCATTGTGCTTGATGCGAGAAAGGTAGTCTGCTTGAGATCATTAAAAAAACTCGAAAGTGCAAATTGAGGAAGTCGGGACTTTCGCACCTCGATATCCTTCCCCATATCTATTGCCGTCTCTGTCTTGACCAGCCGGGATCTCATAACTACGATAAAACAACGTCGGAACAGCAGCCTTGGGTGGGAAAAGAAGTACCGACATTGGAGTAATGAGCGGCCGAGAATTTTCAATTGGTCGGTCTACTGGCCGTGGAATCTTGACAAAGATGTGCATGGCATCGTGAAGAGTAAAGGAAACAGCCTCGCAATCCTCGCACTACGTGTAACGCAAGGCCATGAGCATGGAATTAAGAGCAGAGTGACGAATCCCTACGAGGTTGTATGCAGAGGAGGATGGCTGTGAAGGACATGATGCACACTGGTACCGAACGCCGATGATTGACTGCAAAATAGGTGAGATCCGGACGATAAAAAGGCACCTCTACAGAACCGCATACTTTGTCGCATCCCCGGCATAAGATATGATGATTCATATTCTCCCATTCATCCCTCCTCTCGGCTGTGGAATTTGGAAACCCAATAACGGTTTGTTGGTAATTGGATCCGGCGGAGTTCGCCCGCGGTCTCCAACAGGGATTATCGACACCGATAACTGAAGCGTCCCTTCCCATCACTAAGGCGCGCGCTCGACGGCTGACGTTTCTTAATTCCTTGGTCTCCACCGGCATTGGGATCTTTGGGGACAGATAAATTGCATCAACATTCATTGTTGACGGCTAGCTCACCTTGATCATAATATGGGAGGAGTCGTGTTCTCCATCGGGGGCGGTTAAATTACCCGGGAGTCCCGCACTTTCACAATTCGAACATATGTCGACATTATCGCATAAGGCACAGTGGAACCGGGCTCCTACAATGTCTTGCAGGCAGCTACGGAATATTTATCGAATGCCCCAGTCCGCCATAAGCTCTTACTTACTGGTTGCACTTGACTCCAGGGTGCTTCATGGCTAGAAAGCGGCTGGCATTAACAGGCATCCTGGGAACGTTACCATCACGTACACTGTTCCTCCATACTTATGCTTTGGAGGGGAGGTGGTTTTCGGTCGGGAATAGCCGCAAACGCATGGGAAGGATGGATTTCATGTACAGAACTGCGGGATGCGCAGTCAGAACCGCGCATCTGGGCTCAGCCAATAAGCGTTCGGCAAGAGTAACTGACGCAGCTCACCTGTAGCACGAACGGCATAAATTGAATTGTTCGCATGAAAGGCATTTGAAGCGATCCTTATCGATTGTCTTCTGACATATAGCACATGAGCATTCGTCATCAAGTTCTGCGGGTCGTGTCGGCATAGCACGCATCTCAGTGGCGTCCAAAATTACACACCAACGTCTTGCCATCCTGTATCTCCCCAAAACTTCTCTATGTACGCGTGACGGATTAGTGCTTTTCGTTTTGGAGCATTCCTCATACCCATCCCAATGTTTGGGCTCACTGTTGTTAACGAATCTCCATGAAGCGAGTTACCTACTGCGGAACCTCCTGTAATGAAGTGATGAGTCGGCGAGGAATTGGATGGTGACCCGATGGGTACTGCCAGAGTGGTAGACGATGAAAGGGATGTCGCACTTGGACTGTGAGCGGCATTCAAAGCGTTTTCCGCATGAAGAACCCCAGCAGTTCCAATGCAATTTGGGCATAGCTCGTAGCCCGGACCGGTTTCAATGGAAGGGGATGATGCCAAGGAAGCAGATGAAGTTGTTCGAGCAGGGTGCGGCAGTATGTGATAAGACGAGACTGGAGAATTGCTGTCCGCTTGACTCGGATTCGAAGGGGAGCTAAGTGGACTCCACTCCGTTTTTTGGGTAAGTGGGTGTCGTGGAGCAACCCAAGCACATGTTGAAGGAGGGCTAGGTACAGAAGGAAGGGGCTTATCTGCAAGGGGGGTCCGGGCTGATGGTCCAGCCTCCGAAGAAGCCTGCTTCCCTTTCCCCTTTGTGAAAGTAGACAACGAGTACTCATCACTTGCGATATTCCCTTTCCCGGTGTTTGCGATTCCGCCTCCAGTCTTGCTTCCCCCAAATAGATTGGCAAAAGTTGCAGCGACCCCAAGAACCCGAGATGGTTTCTTATGTATCGATCGGCCAAAAAACGAAGGTGCCAACGATGATGTGGAAGCAGAAGGAATGTTTTGAGAATCGTCAACGCTTCCATCGTCCCTAGCTGAACGGTTCACTTCTTGCTCCGTGATTGGCCCAACACCGTTCTGCCGATATCGTGACTCCTCAAGCTGTCTGGATGGTGGAGCAGGGTGTGTGTAGGTGTCATCCCAGGTCTGCAGCAATAGCGAGGACTGGCTTACGTCCCCAATCGAAGTTGATGATGGCACAAGTACGCCCAATTCATCTCGTGAATGATCTTCTAGTGAACTAAGAACGACTTCCTCTCGATTTCGTTTTGGTCTCTCGCCACATGTAGCGCATACATATCTGAAAGAATCCAGGATTTCGTTACAGGAAGAGCAGCAGGTCACTTCGGTAGGACCATTACAAGCCGACATTTCGGACTGCAGTATGGCTTGCAACAGCTCGGGAGAGACGTCTGATGGATCACGGAATGGATTAGCTTCTGACCAAGTAGCTGCATTTTCCTGTGCCTTCTGGCCTGGTCGATCCTGTGACGCCAAAGGTGACGGCTGAGATGCGCACTCCGAATCCTTAACAACCGGATGACCGGATTCCATTGATTGTATTGCGTCAACCCCGGTTGAGGGCTCTGGGATTGAAGAAATATCGGATGAATAAGAGTAATAAAACTTTCCCGATGGATGTCGATGCAGGGCCAGTCCCCCTGTGTCGGCTTCGTCGGGATTAAGGGGAAGAACACCAGATCGGACGGAAGGGAACGAAAGAGAACTAGCTCCTTCGATGATGTCTTCATCGGAAGCAGATGAAGGTATTGAAGGCCTTGGTAAATGGCCCATCATGGTGCGGATGGCACGATCGTTCTGATCCTGGAGCCACCTTGCGCCCCGGTCATCAGGATTTCCACCAAATGACACAGCGAGATTGGGTGTGTGGGTCGGGGGGAAAGGTGGAAGCTTCGACACAGCTTCCTTGCGCAAGCGCTCAAAAACCGAAACATCAGTTGCTAAGTTTACACCAGATCTAGGTGGGCTATGTGGTTCGGAAGTGGTCGAAGGGACAGGAGTCTGCGATGCACCGCTTGATGAAGCGTATGAGAGTGAGATTTCCACCGACTCCTCCGCTGGCGTGTCAGTCTCTTCATTTTGTTCTGCTAAGATTTGCGAAGATATTAGAGACGCCGTCGCTGTGTCCTTCTGCGCTCTAAAATCTCGAGATCCCCGAGCACTGCTCTTTTGAGACGCTGCAAGTGCTGTGTCTCTAGAACTAATAGTAACCATGTCATCTTCAATATCATAGTTTATTGATGAAAGTTCGGCGCCAGTAACAGCCTGATGGCTCCGGTCGCGTGTTCGCGCAAATTCCTCCACGCTCGCCAAAGACGAAGTATCAGACAGGCTCGGGCCGTCGTATTCCACGAAAACAACTATGCGCAAGGTGATTTTCCGGGTCGTTCGACCCGAATGGCCGGACCAAGTAGTATTTCCGGAAGAACTGGGATGATCCTCCCCTCCTTGGAAATATGAGATCGCTTCAGTCAAGTCCTCGTCTGTAACAAGCTCAATAGTCTCTCCATCATCATCTTTATACGTCATATTAAAATTTGAAGCTGACAGAGAAAAAGCCTGTTCCACCTGTCATTCACAAGATTTGTCAGTTTGGTACCTGGGGACTCGTTTGCAGGGCTACATACTCTTTCTCTGAGGGTCGAGAACGAGAAATTTCTAGCGGAATGGAAAGTGATTCGACGAACTTTACCATTGAACTCGCATTTAACCGTGAGCGGTCGTTCCGGGCGATCGGAGGAGCCTGAAGAGATGGCGCTTGCTCGATCGCTGGAGTCGTTGAGCCCATACCGACTAGGCTGCGCCCGGAGATAGTCAAAATTTACTGGGACGTGAGCCATATCCGACGGTTCCCAAAGCTTCTGAGCGTCCCAAAAGCCCGAGACCCAGATTTGCATCAGCTGCTGCGGGAACGATGAAGGGCTAACGTGGGCCCGTGGCGGTGAAGGGTTCAATTGGCTTACGTAACTATTCTCGACATGAGACCCCTAATGACGCAAGTACTGGTACTCTATTGTCGACGAACTCGAACGACCGGCAACACTTAGGCCAGAGACCTTGAAATATTATAAGCTCAAGGAGGGGACAGCCGCACCGCCACGTTCACACGGGTGGTAGGCCACGGCATCACCATCTAACATGAAGGGCTGCAGCTTGCGCCCATGGAAATTCTCATCTTGGATCGTCTTCTGTTCGTATGCGGAGTTGGTGTTTCATATGTGCGCAATATTTTACTGGCCTCACACGCCGTAACATCTCAACCGCCCTAACCGAAAACTTGCTGCTTTGAGTGACTAGAAAGGCAGCTGGCGCTGTCTTAACCTTGCTCGCGGCGAGATCTTGTCGAATTACACATCCTTATATCTAACTTCTGCCTCATAAGCTCGGGAACGTTGATTGGCTGTCCCTCCCCTCCGTCTTTTTCTCATTCTGTATGGCACTTCCCTCAATCTCTACTGTCCGGACCGGCTCTCGAATGCACCAGGAAAGAGCATTATTCTAGCTACATAGCAGGTCCTGTTAATGTTGAACCCTAAATGAATTCCACCGTACAAGCAACCCATCATTTTGCCTTAGACGGAACCTCTGATCCCTTTGAGTCGCATACAAATCTTCTGTTTTATTGCCTCTACTATGCGACTATGAGCATTGATCCTGTATCCTGCACTGGACACGATGATAGCGGATCATCATGCAATTTTAGTGCCATCCCATACTTTGTAATTGCAAGCACCATCCTGGATTATATTGGCTGATGATGTCTCCGTCATCAACCCACGCACAGTGCCCCTGTGGTGAGCGTGTTTCCGACCATCCACATTATTATCTCATACATTTGCCCACTCGTCTGGCCTTTTTTAAGTTCTATTTCGAACAAGTATGCATTGCTTACACAATTGTATTTCCTATCATTTGGCGAGAATGGCGAGGAACGATTTGCTGTCTGATGCTTCCAGCACATTCCTCATCGTGTAGCAAATGAGCTCAGTTGTATTCGAGCAAATGCAATTCAGTTTACTTGGCCAACTCTCTTGCTGGATGTGGTCCACTGCATCGCTCACAATGTCAACTGCTTGCTCTTAGTGAGGAAGAATGCGAGTTTATCATAGAAGAGGCATGGACTAGTGTGCGCACTGCGACACAATTACTACATCGCCCCAGAAGTTCCAAGGAGAGGAAAACAAGAAAACAAAGGGAAAAACAATCAAAGAGGAGCGAGATCTTGGTTTGACAGGTGGCGTCCACCACGTTACATAATGTCATACTGGGAAGGGTACATCGGCAAGTGAGTGATGTGTTTCATCACTTAGAGCAATATCTACCGTCTGTTACCACCCCACAGTCCTGACCACCTGCAGCCGAAGGCTAGTCGCTCGGTCGGGTGTTGGGAGGGACATGTGCTTAGAAGTGTGGGAGAGCTAGGGCCAATTTTGGGAGTGAGACTTAGCCGCAGAATCGCTGTTCATCTCTCGTTGCGAGATTCAATCTGAGAGAGTTACTTAGCTTTGACAACAGACTAGACAGTCAACGGATGGGAACATTGGGGGCGCAATCCATGTCATGTGGGACGCGAAAAATTGGCTCAACCACAGGAACCCTAGCCGCACGGCTTGAAAGTAGCTCAGCATGCCTTGGGGTTTGCGGAATTGAAGGGAGCACCTGACTGGTAAGAGATACGGTGCGATAGGACGGTTAAGAGCCGTCCCCATTCCCAACTTTCACAATATTGATTTCATGTTTCGTTACTGAACATTAGAGCACTCGGAATGTGTCAGTTGTGAATAGTAGGAGCTAGGTGACGTATTATCGGCGTGTACTGTAGAGACATGGCAAAAAGCCATTTCTTATCGACAATATTATGCTGTGCCTGTGCTGGGGGTCCTTTGCATATTACAATCCAAGATAAGCGGAAATTACGCAGGAACGTTTGTTAACATCGAGCGCCTCCAACCTACAGAACCGAAATAAGTCACAGAAAAGAAAAGATCAAAGAGGCAACACGAGCCTGCATGGTGTGCGCATGGATCATGTCGTCATCCTCCATATCGTGCTAGGGTTTCAATTATCTCGACTTAGTCTGGGAAGCCAAACATTGCTGCACGCTTCACTTGCCTTCGCTGGTGTCTCGTCAGCGTTCAAGATAGCGCCCTGGAATGAGAATTAGTTGCATACAGACGTTAAGAGAGCTTAGAAAAACTGACGTCAAAGGCGAATCTCAACGTTCCTTTCGTAAATAGTCGTCAAGGAATGTAATGGCGCGCGGAGGCTGCCACTGACCTTCCGCCATGTTCCATTTGTCCTAGGTCAAGTTGCGTGAGTTAGGAGCATGACTGTAGTATGCGCTACCCACATGGGCAGCTTTAAACATCTTCCTGAATGGGACATTCCTGCCTGGGACGAGCTCAATGGGTACAGACTTTGCCAGCCCTCTCAGGACACAAACCTAGACTGAACTTAACGGCTGAGATCTGAGTCAGTATTCCGCACCAGTATGTGCACCAGAAGCCATATTACATAGCGTGTTGAAAGTGACATTAAGGGTGATTTTGTCCTTTACGACTGGCGTGATATTAGGTTTCACGTCTGTCATGTTTGGCGCGCGATCAAGTGGCAGTGCAGGTGTAGATTGAATCCCCGGTCCACTTACGCGTCTAACTACGATGTCAGCGCCTGCATTGGCACAGTTTGATTCACGCAAGATTGACGCTCTGACAGCGTACAGGGCTGTTAGCCTCTCATGTCCATGTCCATTTACATATATTAACATTCGCAATGGTAGAAACAACGGGAACACGAGAACTTCAGTGAAAAGCTCAAGAATCGTGGGTAGAACTCGCGTTGTGTCATTCCGTTGGTCAACATTTGGTACGGTGTAGTGCGGTTCTCTCTTAGGGATTTAGAAAAGGAGTATGAAAAGACCGAAGAAGATATCAAAGCAGTTCAATCCGTGGGCCAAATCATAGGCGAAGTGCTTAAACAACTTGATGACGAGCGTTGTACGTCGCCTATCCACTCTTCATTATGTGAGATTGATCATTTCTCAGTTATTGTGAAGGCATCATCTGGGCCCCGCTACGTCGTGTCATTCAGGCCAACTTTGCCCGTTGACAAACTCAAGGCTGGCACGCGCGTCAGTTTAGATATGACAACGCTGACAATAATGCGAATATTACCGCGGGAGGTAGATCCCCTTGTTTATAATATGTCACTTGAGGACCCTGGAGGTGCCTCATTTGCTGGGATCGGTGGCCTTGGCGAGCAGGTCCGGGAGCTAAGAGAAGTAAAAGCCGCGTTTCCCCTCCTGTCTATTACTGAACGTTAATTGTTGTACGAAGATGATAGAACTTCCCCTTATGAACCCTGAACTCTTTCAGCGTGTTGGTATAAAGCCTCCTAAAGGGGTGTTGCTGTATGGCCCACCTGGCACTGGGAAAACTCTCTTGGCTCGAGCTGTTGCAGCTACACTCTCAACCAATTTCCTCAAGGTCGTCTCTTCTGCCATTGTCGACAAATACATAGGCGAATCGGCCCGCATCGTCCGTGAAATGTTCGCATACGCCAAAGAACATGAGCCATGTATCATCTTCATGGACGAAATAGATGCCATCGGCGGTAGACGATTCTCTGAAGGGACGAGCGCCGACCGTGAAATTCAACGAACGCTAATGGAGCTCTTGAATCAAATGGATGGTTTTGACACTCTCGGGAGAACAAAACTCATCATGGCTACGAACCGCCCTGACACATTAGACCCGGCTTTGCTACGTCCTGGCCGCCTTGATCGAAAGATCGAAATTCCGTTGCCCAACGACCAGGCGCGACTTGAGATCCTGAAGATCCATGCAGCGCCGGTCAACAAGGGTGGAGAAATTGATTATGAGGCCATTGTGAAGGTTCGTTTCATGCATCTCCGAGTTTCTTCGAGTTTGGCCACGGTTACATGTCATTATATCAGCTTTCCGATGGTTTCAATGGTGCCGATCTCCGAAACGTTGTTACGGAAGCTGGAATGTTTGCTATACGAGAAGACCGGTGAGTGCATGGTACGTTGCTTGCCATAAGGTTGCGAAACTGAACATGCCTCCCCTCTCAGCGATTACGTTACCCAAGAAGATTTGAGCAAGGCAGCACGTAAAGTCGGTGACGCTAAGAAGCATGAAAGTGAGTCCATTTTAGTCTGTCGTTCACAATACGCGGAATGCCAATACTCCTCTTTTCAGGCAAACTTGAGTACAACATCTAGCATTTAGACCCACCACTGTCTGGGCATCTTATAAACGATAACGAGTCAATAATATAATCAGAACCCCACATATTTCTATCCGCCTATGGTGATTGATTTCATTTTCAGACGACAAGATTGTGTCTTCGAGCGCGGAGCCATAATCAAGTCTATTCTGTGCATTGCGTCATCTGGTTTATCGTCCACAAGAGGTACTAAGACGAAGTATAAAATGCGTCGATTACTGTATGTGTTGGAATCACAATCTGCCAGCAATACGGGAGCTCGGTGTTTGTTCTTGACGCATTTACATTTCGTAGTCAGTATATACGCCTGGTGGACCGCATCTACGCCAGTTAGTTGATCCTGAACTGATCAGTGCCTCTCGGCTTCGTGCTTGAAATGCGGACTAGAATGAAATGATACTAGGTAACGACCGCAACGTCGTTAAACTAGAAAAAGGGAGGAAACTAGATAAGGATAAGAGAAAAAACTGCATCTGTTGCGCAACGCCAAGAAAAAAGATGAATACCATAAAATACATGAGTATGAACCAAAAATCTTATGAAATTCGTCGGGGGGGGGGACTAAAGCTCAGGCAGCACCTTGGCGAGGAGTCGAGAAGACACTCGAGCCAAGGGCTATCGACAAAGAGCGTCTAGAACCCAAATAAGCGTTGAGAGCAATGCCGGCTACTAGATCTACCGGGTAGTTCCGATGGAACTAGGCAGTTCGCTGAACTACCACACAGCCTGCGAGCCGCAAGCCCGGTGTCCCCAGAAAACGACTTGCGGAGTCATGGAGGTAAACCTACTACCACCTAGAAATCCCCCCTGACAGAGATGCCACCAAAATAGACACTCCCCCTTAATGAACCACTGTCTGCAGCCCCGCTTACCCCAGAAGATGAGAATACACTGGAGGCCCTCTTCTTGAACAAGAAGAACCTCCCCAAACAAAAGCTGGCCACTGAAAGCCCAACAACTGTCATATCCATCCCTGGCCATCGACTTCCACTCCCTCTGATCCCTCCGGTCTACCTCCACTCCTTCACTAACCTCGGAGCTCCCGTATTCTGCAATCACCTCGGTACCCCTCGATGGTCACCACCCCCTCTTTTCAATTTATTACCTACACCTCCCTAAGTACAGAGCCCTGAAGGCCTCCGGACAGCTCCGACATCCGCTAGCGCACTCCCGCCTCCACTGGGCAATACACTCGCTTGCCCTGCAAGCCCACCTTCGGGCCTATCCCTCCTTTCCATTTCTGGGTTATTGCCTACCATTCTGTTAACCCTGTAACCCGACTCGTCGGTAATATTCAATCGGCTAATGTCTAAACCCCGTTAGCTCGGCTCCGCTCGGCTCCACTTGGCTCCACCATTTGCGGGCCCGCCCTCATTGTAACTATATATATACTCAACTTGTACATAGGTTACACCTCAGTAATAAAATTGACTAGAGTTTACCCCCTTCAGTTCTGGTTGCCAGTTGAGTAAGTTAGGGCACGGACATGTTACTTGGCACAGCGCTCCTGGCATAAGTCGCTGAGGCTGAAGCCCTCCACCATGGAGACACTCCTTTGTCTCAACCTGGTCTCGGACAACAACCATACCACCCCAGCCTATTACCACAAAGGCCACAAGCGAGGATGATGACCTCTGCAGCTCGCCTGATGGGCCCCCCAGTCCCCTAACAATCAGGAACTTGAGGTACATGACCACAAATACGAGGGACACTTTACAACTAGACACAAGAAAGCACGCTAGATCCCCAACAACTGCCAAATTACAAGGACCGTTGTAGGAGGGCACAGCAAGTACCACACAAACAAGGCCAGAACCACGTTTTTCGAGGCTCCAACGAGCACCCTCAAGCCTCCGACACATTCACAATGCCCATGGGACATTTCCACATTTTTTCCAATTTTTTTCCATGCTTTTTTTCTCAAGACCCATATTGCCACTTCCCCAAAATTCACGGATATCCACCATTTCCCCCATATCTCCACCAATTTTCCACCAATTCACACGATTTTGAGCTTGAAGGACAGCGACGGATCAGGAGAAGAAAATGGAAGGACGGGACGGGAGTTAGGATGACGGATATGCGGTGGAGAAGCGAGATTGATGGTTGATATTGACCTTATGGGCCTCAATTATTGATTTTATTGTTGCCTTGTGGACATTTTTTTTGCCTTATTATTTCTTAGCCGAGTTCTCAACATTCTTCCTGTTTCCATTGCCACCATCCATCGGCTATTTTCCTTGTTTTTTTTTTGTTCTGATTTCTCTTTTTTTCTATATATACACCCAGTTTGCATTGTACTTACAGTTGTTGGACCCCTCTTCTGTGCTACAAAGAATGTGGTGTTGAGCGATCCCTCCATATGTTAAAGAAGCCTCCTGACAACTGTCCAAGAAGGACCAGGAGTGAGTACATGATTAGTGAGATTTTATTGATTATTTTCTAGCACCCGGACCACAGCACAGTATCGGCACTGTTGCCACCATCCTTTCTCCCTCCTTCCGACCCAACTCAGACACTACCCCCAGGTCCCTACTCTTTTGCCTGGGCAGCCCTTTTGCCTGGCTACATTATTGGTGGTCCTTACAGGGGGCCGGGGTTGTCAGTTTCCTGTTTGGGGTCACTTACGCCAAGTTTACGCAAGTTTTCACTTTCCACTCATTTACGAATTGATTATTTGATTGTGGATATCGAGTATCTACATCATTTGTTACAGAAAAGCACGCCAAGAAGTACAAGTACAAGTTTAGGGATCCACAAGTTCACGGACCCATACATTCCACACATTTTACCCAAGTTTCCTCCATTTTTCCCCATTTTTCCTCCTTCCTGCCAGTGTCAAGAGGCACAGAGGATCGCCCTTGTTCCACGAAAGCGGGTTCTGAGTAGCCCTTACACTCCAGAAATTCCCGTTGTCACCCACATGGCACCTAGTTTGCCTCCAGAGATGGCCTCAGTCCCTGTCACTGCAGCGCCTATGTTTGACATTTATTACACACCAATGCCTAGCACCTGTAGCCCAAGAGCGCCCCGATTCAAGGGCAAATGGATTGCTAAGTTCCTATGCAAGTATGAGTTGCTGGTGGATGCCACGCTCCTCACAGATGCCAAAAAGTGCAATTATTTGCCAGCTTATTGCTCTGATAAGGAAGTGAGGTTCATTTGCACCCTTCCTGACCTAGAGACTGGTGACTGGTCATCGCTCAAAGCAGAATTGCTGAGCTGTTATGGTGCCGACGTTGAAGCACCTGTGTATCGCTCCAGATATCTCTGCAAGTTTGTGGAGAAAGATTGCAAGATGGAAACCCTAGACCATCTTGGACGGTATATGCGCAAGTTCCTTGCCATTTCCAAGTCCCTAGCGGCACAGAATTGCCTCAGCACTCTTGAGTGCGATGAGTTGTTTTTCCGAGGCTTCCCAGCCAAGTTCAGATATGAGCTCGAGTTTGAGCTGCAAGTGCAAGGTCCATGGCTCGATTTGACCCGGCCACCCGAAATGCACGATGTTGTCGCAGCGGTGTAGGAGAAATAACGGTCACACTATGGAAACCCATTATGGAAATATGCCAGATAAATCACAAAACCTCATATGACAAGTAGATATAAGAAAACAGAAGGACACAAATTTTTACGAATTATTATGACTATACGCGATAAATCGAAAGAAAGAAAAATAGCAAAAATACTTCAAGCTTACCATCAACGAGACGGAATTCCCAGGGGAATTTATAGCAAATATTAAAACAAGAATTAGGACAATCGACCAAGATTTGACTATAAAAACAATCAGAGAACCTCCATGGAAACTACTTTCCCACGTCTGCACACGTAGCCAAGGATGGAAGTACCACGGAACAAGGATTCCTCAGGAACTAATGCAAAATTCAAAGTCGTGTTTATAATAGGAAATGTAGATGTCTCCCAAACGGACCCAATGAGAGTAATTACAGGGGAAGCTACCCATAAACGATGGAGATATGACTAAAACTCCTGCAAAATGAGGACAATATCTAAAAGGCAAGCGCGAAAATTAACCAGTAACGACCGAGACAAGCTTGATAGGCCATTAGAAAGGAAGGAATCTAATCTTAATCCTCCCAAATTTTCATAATAAAAGGATCATGCGTTAATGAGATATCCAATAACGGGAATAGCGACATCAAAAGTCCGAGCTCAGGGAAAAGACGATGTTTGCGTAGGATCCATAATTAAAACATACAACGAAATTTACACGGAAATTATGAAAAATGGGGAACTATAGTTATGCAAATTTTCAGCCCAAACGGTCCAGCCGTTGTGAAGTTATACCCATGACGGGAATATAGAAATCCGCATCATGTGTAATGACACGTGAGGGTGGCAATGCGCAGGGTGAGGAAATTTGTATCCGGTGCGACTACTGGACTTATCTGGAGCTCCAAATTCTTATGACGTAAACCAGCGTGACTGGACAAATGACATAAAATGGACAAGCCTGGTATCGAACCCAGGACTTCTAGCGTGCATCCATACACTACTCGCCCGTTATGCCAGGGGGGGGGTACCCCTTCCCTGATGGTTTGGGAGATCACTTGATCCCTTCCTCCAACACAGGGAACCGGCCGTCGGAACCGAGATCCACACTTCGGCAGATTGCGAAGACCAATTTCCGTCCAAATAAGGAAGAGCCCGGTCAAAACAAAGCACGGAAAGTGCAAAACAACCTTAGATCATGAGGGAAAAATCTGAAATAAATCACAGAAGCCCATATGAAAGAAATAAAAACCCGTGCATATCATAAATCCCAAACAATTAAACAGAAACGGTGCCTGCATACGAATGACTATGGGAATGACACACGTGATTACCGAATGTGCATGCGAACTTTTGCTAACTCAACGAATACCAGGAAATAGGACACAACCTTAGTACCATTGGAAAGGTGGGAATAAATGAAAATTTATGATACCAAGAACGTGAGAAGACATCCAGAAATGAATGAGATATAGGGACATGAAGTTAGAAACCTGAAAACGCGCGGGAAAACAGCTTCAAGAGGTCCAGAGTCCTAAATAAAATACATAAAAATATGATATCTTCAAGGACGACCTACTATAACAACGAACAATACATATGGAGGATTAGGATGTGATAATACAAAGGGGAATCAGGGAATATGAACGAAATTCACGAAAACCACTAAACTACAACGGACCATGGCGGGAATTTTAGGGAACGATATTCTAATGAGGTGGAGAGCTATAACACATTCGTTTGAGTAATTCTTGACTACTAGCAACTTTTTCTTTCAGTTTTAAACCTGAATAATTCACTCATTTACCATTTCAGTCTCATTTTAACTAAATGTCACTAAATAAAAATGGAATAAATCAGCTGAAGGTCTCAGCACAGCCGTACGCATAGTAATGCGAAGTTTGAATACAGAATCATCGAGTCATAGCAAATTTAATGGTATATATAGGGAATTTGAAATAGGTAACTGCGGCAAATGCAGCGCAGCCAAGTTCTAATTAACCATTAAAATAGCTTAGGCAAGGGAGGACAATAAGGATTCTAGGCGCAGTCTGACTGCAGTAGAACCGCAGTTCAGCGCAGCAAAAGCGCAGTAGAACTATAGCGTGAAAATTTCATTTTTTATTCAGTTTGAGAAAAATACACTGTAAATAAATTCTGTAAATAGAAGGTAGAGCGTGAAAAAGGAAGGCAACCCAAGGAGTATAAAAGGGAGACCCTTTCTGCGACTTTTCGCCCCCCATAGAGAAGTAAGAAAATAGAGTATTATTTTTCTCAAGCATTTCTGGTTGTCACTCCAGTGCGAAAAAGTGATATACAGTTAAGATTGCCACTGTAGTAAAAGGCAGCAATTAAGGAGAGAAATATTAAGTAAATATTTCAACAGGAGAGCTGGTTAACACTCCAGATTTCAAAGTGTAAACACAAAACAGTTATCTTGCTACTGTTAAAACAAGCAATAAAATAAGACAAAAATAAAACAAACCCAAGGGTCACTCAAGACACAATCCAAATTCATTAACTGAATAGAATCTTTGAAACTTCACCAAGTAGAAGATTAAATTCAAGTTTAAATCCAAATTAAACAACGCTACACAGAATTACACCTAGACAAATTAAGAAATTTCAATAAAGAAACAGCTCCGCAGGGCTCGGTTTATCTGTAAGTCAATTCCCAGGAACTTTAAAACTAACCCATAAAAATAGAATTAGCCAAAACACTCGGATTGGTACTATATTTACAATAAATAACACTAGTACACTTCCCCATCCTAACTAAAGAACCAGGGAACAGCTTGGTGGTGGTCTCGTTTGAACCTCCCAACTGACCTTCCTTCGTTCGCTCCTTCAGCGGCAAAGATCCTGCTTCAGGACGACTTGTTTTACGATGACTTGTTTTATGATCACAGTCTAGCTGACCATAGCAGCGACGGCGCTAGTTCCTGCCCATCGCCAGCAGAGGCCCATAGCAGTGCGTATGCTCAGTTCCCAATGCAGTCCTCGGTTCAGAGCGACTTCATGCTCGAGTACGATCCAAGTATGAGCTCCAGCATGTCAGAAGACCTGGAAATCCCAGAGACGGGTAGCCCAGCGTTAGATTCGAACGATCTACACCAGTCTGAAGCATCTGAGGTGTCCAGCGCTGCAGATGCTGAGCCAATTGTCGCATATGTGTCTGAATCAGAGTTTGAAACCGAGAGTACTAGCTCCTACGACGCATCCGAGAGTACATCCGATGTACCAGAGCACAATCTTAAAGAGTTAAGGCCTAGCGGCCCCTCTTACAGCTCAGAACCCGACATTTCTGATGACAAATTGGTTGCTCATGTTCCAGAGCCAGTTGAGATCGAGTTTGCATGCACAGATGAAGTCATAGAGCCCCAATTGTTGGAGGCAACAGCATACTACCACCCGATTGAGCCAGCCGCTGATGATCCTGAGAGGTTCAGCGAGCCTTACTGTGATAACTCAGACATTCACAAGTCAACTTTAGAGTCAGAGCAGTCGCTTGTGTTTCAGAATGTGACCATGCACCACACAACTCCAGAGTTTGAGCCAGAGGAGAGCCAGAACGAAAACATGCACCGATCAGACATAACTCCCTCTGAGTACCCCCCCACCCGGCACCCAGTAACCAGCGCTGAGGACATTAACGAGATGCAAGATTTAGCTATGTATGAGACCACGAAAGCAGAGAGGCCAAAAGACGGAAAAGAGGACTACAACTGGATCGCCCTTGGACATGACCTCGAGAAATTCGTAGCACATGGACTCCGCCCATCCCACCTGCTAGAAGGAGCTAACCCAGCCAGAGCTGAAGAATGGATGCGCACAGAAGGAGCTATCCTTGCCTTGCCACTGGATGCAGCCTACAATGAAGAAAACATGTGCAACTTCCAAACTAATATGGAAATCTTCATTGAAAGAGCCTTCCCGGACCAAACAAAGTGAGTGAGAATCATTCCCCCCTTCCCAGCTGAGGTAGGAAAGAAAAACTATGGGCAGTACGCCCAACCATGGAGCTTCCTAGTCCAAGGTCTTAACCCACCCTATGCGGTCAACAAATACCTCTGGATAATTTGGGTTTATAGCGATAGACCTAAAACTTAGACCAACAATGTAAGGGATTAACCTTACTTCACTATAATTCCGATTATAGTGATGCTATTATTTCTTTATTTATTTGTGCCAAGATATGTAATTTACATATATATACCTCGGAGTAGTTGTAAAGGCCCAGTAGCCTTTTACCTCTACCCCATTGAATATACAGCACATTTAAGCTTATATTTAGACAGACTAACTGAGGCCTGAGGTGAACAGGGGAACGGAACGTTACTGTCCCCAAATAAGTAAGCAGAACCTTTCAAACAACCTTTGTTGCCTCATCAATTGGTATGAGCAAAAGACTCAAGGATGAGGAGGACATTGTCACAGCTGTCCAAGACACAATCATGGACATGAATGGGTTATTCCTCCCATTCCTAGCACAAATGGACATGACATCCGACCAAGTCATGGATATCGTGGACAGTGTCCAAGCCATCCCATGAGGATATGTGTCAGGGGATGGACCCTGGGTCCCCATGACCCCTCTCTATGGCCCACAGTCTAACCTGTGAACAGCCCTGTCCAGGGCACAACTACTGTGGGTAAGAAAGTGTATAAAAGTGTCAGGGCATGCCCCGACACACCCCACCTGACCCCCGCTCCGCTTCCCCACTTCTCCCTCCTCTCCCTCTTCCTTTCTCCTTCCTTTCTCTCTCTCTTACATGGACCACCTTTCCTGCTGTTCAATGTATCACCAGCACGCATGCCCATTTCCCAACCTGTATCTTACCATCCCTATACCACTGCTACTGCTGCTGCACTCGCCCTGCACCCACAGCGGGCCCTCTTGGGATCTCCTGTGGAGGCACCCGGAGAGCCATGGCTGTGTGTGAGGGTGACGTGGCGTGCTGTAGGCGTGTCAGGGCACACACCCTGACTAGCCCGGACCCGGACCCGTGTCCGGACCCGCTTCCACCCACTGCGCTTCCCACATGCGCACACGCTCCGCACGCCGCATGCTCCGGGCCCGGTTCCTACCCCTTCATGTGACTTCCGGGTATCCCCGGAAGTTTTGCTGATATTGTGGCCACTGTGGGAAGATGAGAAGTTAGCTTCCTTCTCATCTCCTTACCCACAGTAGAGTTGTGCCCTGGACAGGGCTGGTTACACCACAGGCTGTGGACCATAGGGGAGGGTCATGGGGACCCGGGAGTCGTCCCCTGACAAGGCGGGATAACCTACTATACCCTACACCACCAGTATTTTTGCGGTTTTACGTTCCTTAAGGATTTCCCATATGCGATGATCACCTACCAATGCCAATGGTGCATAAGAACATTTTATTTCATTTATTACGGGGTACAATTGTGCATAATGCGCTGGTACTGAATTGGTTCAGCCCAAAAACTATGCTTGGTGCTACTGGCCACCAGAAGACGATCAAGGGCTCAGAAAATAGAGAAAAATCATAACTATGGATTCCCCAAATTTCGTCCAGATCAACCCAGCCATTGTGGAACAATGGTGGTGATGATTTCTCATCTTACTGTGAGGTTCTGCACGATGTCGAAAGGCACGTTGTAATGGGTCTATCCAACTAGACTCGAGACAGGAAGGAGGGGGGATAGGAATCTCACTACAAGTCAGGTCTGAGTGAGTATATTGGTCCAGTTGAGTCTGGTGCTGATAACTCTCTACCAAACTATACAGCGGGTCCCGGAAGAGTCCGATAGACAAAATAGGAAAGAATATCACATGACAATAAGAAAATGGAAACATCGGCCTCTAGACATCGGAAATGGAATCAGAAAAATTAGGAAAAATAGGAAATGTGTGTAAAGAGTGTGAGGGGATATAGGCTACATGTGATGGATGTGAGGTGCTTGCTGAGGGTGGTAGAATCATGGGATTTGGCTCATTTAGGGTACACCGGCAAATCCCCGTTACAACGTGAGGGTGGCGGTGTCGAAAGTCCCATGTGGTGGAGCCGAGATCCGTACTTCGGGAGATCACAAAACTGGTTTTCAGCCCAATATGGAAATCACAAGCCATACCGAAGCAAACAAACAACCAAAATGCACTCCGGAGTGCTCATAAAAACTCAGAAAAATCACAAAGGATGCGTATGAAGATCCAATTGGCATGGGGACTCTCGCAAACACTTTTTGGGACATCTAACCCTGTGCACGGGCCAATTTTACGATTCTCACACCCACCACTCGGTCAAATCTCAACCATTTGGGACAAATTTAGTATTGAGAGAAAGCTACGAACCCGGGGAATCGAATGGAGAGGTCAGGAAAGGATGCTACAGGAAGGAAGAGACGGATGAGTGTAGTGTGATGGTGGAAATTGGTGGAGAATGGCAATTATTAGTGGATATGGCCCGCTTATCACTCCTGTTTCTTTTTATTGAACTTCCACGTCGGCCATTGGACTTATCGGCCATACTTAACAGTCCACATGGTGTCCGTAACAACAATCCTTCGTTTTATATTTTTCCTTTCATTTGTTTTTCCACATTATTGCCGTTCCATGTGTTTAAAAGCTTGTACACATAGGAATGGAAAAGCGACCTCCCTTTTTGACTACAAGAGACTGTAGCGCTGAGAGATCCAAGAAAAAGAGAGAAATTCTAAGCTTGACTCTTTGAGTATTATAAGGAAATCCCTGATGATTGTCCAAGATGGACCAGGGGTACGTAATTCTTAGCGAGTTTTGTGATTGTTTTTGTTTTGTTAGCACCCGGACCAAACCTAGGATGAGCTTAGGATATCCCAGACTTCCTCCCCACGAATTTGCTCGCATTTAGGGGGTTAGATCTCTAGCCCACTTGCAGCGCCCCATGTGATCAACCCCACATGTATATAATAACAGCTGGAGTGGGAACCGAAGAAGTAGCCTTCCCTTTTAATGATAACTCACATTCCCACTTCAGACTAAGTGGTCAGGGATGCTCACCCCACAACGGGATCACCACTACACACAGCCGTTATTCATCCCACCAAGTCCCACACGCCGGGACCTTGCCGCTTTCGGAGCTGTCCCTGACAGCAGAAGAAGGCTTCAACCTCATCTCCCCCGCCTCCCCTGCTATGGTGACCGAAGAGCAGTACGATGAACTGCTGTCCCGATTCCAAGAGCTCCAGGCCATCGTAGAGAGCCAAGCTCAAAACCAGCCCCCAGCTGCGCCTGCACTGGTGCTGGTTCCTGCACAAACACCTGCACCCACCCCCAGACCCAAACCACCTAAAGTCGCCCCCCCCACTGCCTTCTCTGGAGCAGCCGAAGACCTTGACCGCTTCAAGGCTGAATGCAGCATATATTTCCATGTCCAAGCAGCGGAATTCCCCAACGCCCTCTCCCAGATCCTCTTTGTCCTGTCCTATATGAAGGGAGGGACTGCGGGGGTGTGGGCGATGCAGCGCACCATCGTGCTACTGATGACGGGCTCCCCCCAGCTCACCATGGACGAGTTCAACACGGAACTCGACGCCATGTTCCAGGACCCGAACCGTGAGGCCACAGCCAGACAGAAGATGGCCACTCTGCAGCAGGGCAGTGACTCTGTGGATAAGATCATCCAGGATTTTGAGATCCTCAGACCCACCTCACAGCTAGGGGACGTGGGACTGGTGGATCGCTTCGAACAGGCGATCAACTCCTGGCTCTGCAAGAGCATTTACCGCCTCTGCCCCATGCCAACAACCTGGGCTGAGTGGAAACGCAAGGCCACCCTCCTCGACAACCAGTGGCGGCGTTTCCAGGTGACGCAACCCCGCTTAGCCCCTGCCAGGCCCCCACTCTTGCCCCTGAGACCCCCACTCCCTACCACTCTCCTGCAGCCATGCCCCCTACCCGCTGCCACTGCACCCCAGCCCCCTGCGCCCTGCCCCGCAGCAGGAGCAGGGCCACAACCCATGGACCTCGACCGCTTGAGGATCGACCAGAGGCGAAATGGGCTGTGTTACAACTGCAACACACCAGGGCACATTGCGTGGGATTGCCTGCAACTGAAAACCCGCCAAGCCAGACAGATGCACCCCGAAGACCTCAGAGCACTCATGGAGGGGCTGAGGAGACAGCTGGTAGATGAACCAGAGACAGAGGGAGAAGGGCAGGAAGTGGAGGCCCAAGAGGATTTTCAGGATGGCGACTGGTGAGGGATGCACCCCAGCCGCCTGCAGGCAATAGTACTAGCTTGTGTAGATACCGTGAGGCGCCTAACCCAGTGCCGATATCTAAATTCCACCAAGTCATTGCCAAGAAGAAGAGGAAAAATGCATCCTCAACCAGCAAGGGCAGAGAAGCCCCAGAAATGGCGCTGGAGATAGCGGTCCCACCACCCACCATCTATGTGTTGTCCAAACAGCCTCCCAGATCCCTCAACCTCACCGTTGAAACCGGGCAAGATGGCTGCCCAAGCAAAAGAGTAGGGACCTGGGGGTAGAGTCTGAATCGGGTTGGAAGGAAGGGAAAGGATGGGTGGCAACAGTGCTGATACTGTGCTATGGTCCGGGTGCTAGAAAATCAATCTATAAAATCTGTACTCACTCCTGGTCCTTCTTGGACAGTCGTCAGGAGGCTTCTTTAACGTATGGAGGGATCGCTCAACACCACATTCTTTGTAGCACAGAAGAGGGGTCCAACAACTGTAAGTACAATGTAAACTGGGTGTATATATAGAAAAAAAGAGGAATCAGAACAAAAAACAAGGAAAATAGCCGATGGATGGTGTCAATGGAAACAGGAAGAATGTTGAGAACTCGGCTAAGAAACAATAAGAAAAAATGTCCACAAGGTAACAATAAAATCAATAATTGAGGCCCACAAGGCCAATACCAACCACCAACCTCGCTTCTCCACTGCATATCCGTAATCCCAACTCCCGTCCCGTCATT